TGTCGCTACCCTTTGGGTCCCCACCGCCCCTGCGACCGCCTCACCTCAGCCGCGGACAATGGCGACCGCTCCCCCTGCGTCGACCCCGACGCGCCGCGAGGGCTGCTGGGAGTTGTAGTTCCAGCGGCGCACTTCCGGTTTGGGTGAAAGCCGCACCGCGGCAGGTGTTCGGGATTGTCTCTGCCGCGAGTCTCGGCACCTGACGGGGACTTTCCCACCCTGGGCTGTTCCTGTCGGAGGCGAGCGGCACTGTCCTCCCCACCGCTGCCCAACTTGGTAGTGGGAGGAGGTGTGTGTGTCTGTCGCGGCCCGTGGCCCCTCACTTTGCCCGTCTGTGAAATGGCAGCTCCTGGTGGCCGCACCGAGCAATAGCAAGTCTGAGCGCTTTCGGCGAATCTCTTACTTTACTAGTTACAACTGTAGACGGAAAAGGTGTTTGGGGGGAGGCGCCGCGTGGTCTCCGGGCCCTTCCCCTGCTCCACCCCTCCACCTTTCCCTTACCCCTCCTTACAACCACCGCCTCCTCCCAGCCTCACTCCCGTCCTCGCTCCCCCCCCCCAAAAAAAAGCAAAAGGGGTTCTATGGAACCTCACAGGGTGGTCTAATCATAAATTCCTAATGGGGCAGGTGTGGTGGGTAGTCATGCCCCAGACACAACTTCTTTGGTAAAAGGCTTATCTTAAGCCCTGTCCATTGTTCTTGTGCATCTCGGTTAACACACGTTTGAAATAAGCATAACTATCCTCAAGACAGCAGATACCGCCTTCACTTTCCTGTAAGCCAATCCCCACCTTTCTCCCACCTCCATGTCATCTTCATTGAGTCCCCTCCTTAATTTCAAATGTGTAAGAGAAACCGTGAACCTCGTTCTCTGAAGCATTTTCGATCTTGCTTCCCAACAATGTCACCAGTTTGGCCCACAAACTCAAAAAACTCTTCACAGATTTGGACGCCCTACGTCGACACGAGTTCGTGAGGTTCACATGAGGAACCTAATTTTGAGTTTTCCCTCGAATATGAAGCCCTACTGCTGAGAACATCGGGGATTGTACCCAAAACACTCTCCTGATGGCAAAGCTTTATGGGAACATAAGTTATCATCGACCTAACTTGTGATTTTTTTCCACTTCCGTCAACATTTACTGAGTGGCTCCAAAGAGCAGGGCAGAGAACAAGGCCAACAAAATCTGTTTTGGCAGCTGCCAATCAATGCCACTATTCAAGAACACTGGAAGGGAAGAAAGCTTCCCACCCAGCAAAGGGAGGACCCTTTTGCAACTAACCCCAGCCTCTAGCCCTAGGTGACCCTGGGATCCCTGGTGGCAAAGCCCACTGACAGCCCTTGGGGGCCCTCAGAGCCTCCTTTCCATCTGCAGTTAGGTGATTTCATCGTCATGCAAACATCATAGTGTGCACTTACATGCAAACCTAGATGATACAGCCTGCTATACACCTAGGATGTATGGTATAGCCTTTTCAAAAAGTAAATGCTTTTACTGATTTCAGAGAGAGAGGAAGGGAGAGGGAGAGATAGAAACATCAATGATGAGTCACTGATCAGCTACCTCCTGCACGTCCCCTACTGGGATTGAACCCAAAACCTGGGCATGTGCCCTGGCCAGGAATCAAACCTCCATCTTCTAGATCATACATAGGTCAGTGCTCAACCGTTGAGCTATGCTGGCTGGGCGCTATGTTAATTTCTATGTTTCCTTCTAAGCCCTTGTCCAAATGCACACATAGGGTAATATAGCCACAATTCTGCACCTTTTACTGCACATTATAGATATTTTCCATGTTTCTGCACAGGGTTCATAGTTTATAGTGACTTCCTGAAACAAATGAGGAGCAGCCTTTTTAATATTGGAGGAACAATGAAGTAAGTAATGGCACTCTGGCTTTTTGGAATAGTACATTGTCATTTAATTAAATATCATCGACCTATTCTAACGTCCCAGCAACAGCCTTTCCCACACTGGTTGATCATATTAACTAGTATTGAAGTGAGTTTTGATCTTACAAACTATTTCTCATTGGCAATTTCCCTGGATATCAAATGCCACCGAGACTCAGCCCTTATCTGGGAATGGGCCAAAATGACAAAATCTAAACATAATTGTGTAATATTAACATATTAAAATGAAATATGTAGTTTTCCCCCTCTGGTATGAGTTTTTTGGTGCCCAATAAAATCAGAAACTTGATTGAAAGCTTTCCCACGCTGATGACATTTCTATGCTCTCCAGTGTGTGTTCTTACTTTGAGTGAAAGATAAATGAAAAAGAAAAGTTTCCCCACATTTATTACATCTATATGGTTTCTCACCAGTATGGATTCTCTTGTGAACTGTAAGATGAGAACTGTGGCTGAAGGCTTTTCCACGTTAATTACATTTCTAAGGTTTCCCTCCAGTATGTGTCCTTTCTGTTGTGTATTTGATGAGTGGTCACTAAAGGCTTTGCCACATCTGTTCATCCATAAGGTTTTTCTCCAGTATGTGTTCTCTTACGCACAGTACGATTAGATTTTCCAATGAAAACATAAATTTTTTAATAAAAAAATCATATCAAGTGAGGATTAATTTTAAAAAAAAGAAACTCATTGAGACATGTTCCCTCTTTTAGATAAATTATTCCAGGCGATCGAAAGACCGGAATTGTTCGTTCCTTAAATGTGCTGTAAGTAGCTGAAGCCCTCTGGGCTCGGAGGTTTGGGGACTCCATGGTGAATGGCTATGGGGCTTTGCTGACACCTTTGAGGACAGCAGGAGTCGCCGTACTTACCACCTCTTGTTTCTCTCCGCAGCCAGAATGACCGGCTGAGCGGCCTTTCAGAGGAAGGGCGGGGATGCGGCGCGAGCGCCCACCCAGGAGAGCCAGCCCCGCCGGGCTGTGGGACGCGCGAAATGCGCATGTCCAGGCCGGCGGGGACTGGGGGACGCCGCCCCTCGACTGGGGACGAGTTGCCGCAGGCGCGCGGCTAGAGGCTCCTCCGACTCCGGGGTTAAAGCCGGGAGAGGCGGGGGAGGAAACGCGGGGGAGGGCAGCCGGCCGCACTCCCTCCCTCACACCCGAGACCAACCGCGCCCCGGTCCGCGGCGGGAAGGCTCCCGACAGGCGCGAGGAGGCGGAGCCGGAGTGAGTCCCTGCGCAGAGGGCCCGGCAACCACGCGCAACACCGCGGTCCTCGAAAAGCGAAAGGTCGCCGCCCGACCTCGGCCAGAAGTCCCCGCGCCGCGGTCTCCTCCCCAATGGGAATGCGCAGCCTCGGCCACCGACAGTGAAACCGGGGCCGCGCTTGTGCTGCTGGGAATTGTAGTCCTAAGGCCCCAGCCACACACCGGTCCTTAAGTCCGGGCCTGGCGCCCGAGGAGCCCGACTGCATTTCCCACAGCGCGGCAGGGCGGCTGCCCACCAGTGGGCGTGCACGGTCGGGCCTAGACTGAACGAGGGGTCTCCGGGGACTTGGAGACCAGGCTCCCGGGCCACGCCTGGGCAGCACTGAGGCTTCCCCACGGTGGTTCCCAGTCTACCATCGGCAGGCGTCCTGACCTCCGTGAGGCCGCGGTGGGAGGCTCCGCGGAGTCCGGCAAACCGGGGGTTAAGAATAACGGGTTACAGGGACTCCCACCCACGCCAGCCTCCTCCAGTCGCACTACTTCTCCCAGAAGGCGCCGCGGTACGGACATCTGTCCTGACTGTGGGACAGACTGTGGGGCAGCCGCGTCAGATGGGAGCGAAGCCTCCTGGAAGTTGCAGTCCGTGTTGAGGGACAAGGCGCCCATCCCTAGATCTGCCGACCACACCTCCCAGGAGGCCGGGCGGAAACAGGGCGGAGGGGGCGGCGAGTCCTCGGTCTTCACTGATTTCAAATATACCACCTTCAAGTTTACACGTTCCTGAGACGAAATGAAAATAAATGTCATGCGCTTTCTACACTCGACAAAGGCTGTTAATACCTTAAATATTACGTCTCTGTCCTGGAGTCTCTGTATATTGAGAGGGTAATGAAATGAGTCCTGGTCGACCCACACCCGTCCTTTTCGTGTCGTGGGATGAAACCCGCGGAACAATCACCTTCCCATCGTTCCTGTTTCCCTCTTCTGGCCCAGTCCTTCTGTATGTCTCTGCTTATCATCCGAGCTGGGGGACGGCCGCGAAAACCCTCATGCGGCTGGCTGGCAACGAACATTTCTGAGGGGGCAAAAACACGAGCGCCAGGAAGCCGGCAGGGACCAGAGTGCGCCCACGGGCGGGGAAGCTGCTCGCGGCACCCCGCGTGGCCCTCTGGGAGTTGTAGTTCGAAGCGCGTCGGCGCAGGCTGACGCGAGGCGAACGGTGGGCGTGCCGTTCGCTGCCGTTCGCGGAAACAGTGCGGAGCGGGCACTGAGCGGAAAGAGGAGGCCGAGGCCGGCGGGTTCCACCAGCAGCGGGCGGAGCGCAGCCCAACCCCTTAGCGGCGGCGCTGGGCGGGGCGAACCCCGAACGGCCGGAAGCGCACCTCCCTCTGGGCGACGCATTCCGCTCCCCCGCTGATGGCCTCGCCTAACGGTAAGTGGTGAGGGTCGGGCCCGGGCGGCTGAGACGGGCGGGAGCGCGCGAGACCACCGAGGATTCCAGCCTCGCGGAAGGATTCGAGAGTGGCGGGCGGGGACGGGGCAGGCCCACAGTGACCGGATGCGAGCGCGCGGCCCTCTGGGAGCTGTAGTCAGTCCCCGGTCGGTGCCGGCGCGTCCCCGGCCCGCAGCCGCCTTTGTGCTGCAGTCCGGCGGGTAAGCGAGAAGAGGGGGCCCGGGCGGGGCGGGAGGCCCGCGTCCGCCTGCGCTCTGGCGGTAGTGTGATCCCTACCGCGTTGTTCCTTAATGCCCGGTGCGGGTCCCTTCGCGGACAGTAGGGGCGGGGCCGAGTGGGCGGGGCCCTTGAGGGGTCTCGGGGTCCGAGAGGAGGGCTTGGGGTCGGGGTGAGTTCCACTCTTTGGTGCAGGGTGTCAGCGTCTCCAGGCTCAGGGCGCAATCGGAGAGGCAGCCAGCCGGACCCTACTAAGACCAGAGCCGGCCTGGCCTGCTGGGGGGGGGGTCTATGGAGATTCCAAGAGTGGGGAAGGCCGAGGTCCACCACCGAGTCAAAGGCGCCCTCACCTTCCTAAGGGGCCTTCTCTTCCTAAAGAGTGAAGGTGGGGAGAGACCAAAAACAAGATTTTAATCCCAGTCCACGGGGACCCAGAAAAGAGACTCATTGTATGAAACTCTTACAAAGCACTGACTGCATAACAGGCACCCTGCAGGCTCCTTTATTAATTAATCACACGTATTTAGATGTGGGTGTCAAGCCCCCTCTGATGCCCACAAGCCTCTCCATAGACCCAACGTAGTCTCCGACCCCTACAGTCCATGGGGTGAGGGTGGGAGGTCAGGAGATGACAAAAACCTATGACTCATATAAACCAGTTAACTCCCATCCAGTGAGGACAACATAGCACAAACGGGATGAGCCTGAGTCAGGAGGCACAGTCAGGTCCTCACAGGACGATACACACACGTGGGAAAGCATCCTACGTTGGGCCTGAGTTTCACTTTGGGCACTCACACAGGGTTGAGCTTGTAAAGCACCAAAACCATGGAATAGTATGTATGTCTTAGACGCTAAGTGGGAGCTCACTGGAAAGTGAGGCTTCCCTCCCAGCAACAGTCACCCTCATGTGACTCTGCTCTGGGTTCACACTTTTTCACACTCTCATTCCGGTGATCTCCATGTCAGGTTACCACCCTCAACTGACAGAACAGGGAAACTGAGGCACACCAAGCAGTGCCCAGGAAACCCAGAACTGTCTGGCTTCCTGTCTTGATAACAAAATAGTCATCATCCTGGAAGTCATCTGTGTAAATAGGGGTGTGTCCCTTGCCCACTCTGGTCCTCAGTTTTCCTGTCTTTGGAGTGGCTTGGGTAAATTTTCCATCTTTCTTCAACAGTGACCGGAATAGCGCTGGATCACAGCAGGCACTCAGGACCTGCCTAGCTGAGGTTCACTGCTTTTGGGTTTTGTCTGGGTACT